TAATAATAATAATAATAATAATAATAATAATAATAATAATAATAATAAGATACATCTAACTTATATAATGCTTTTATGGACACTCAAAGACACTTGGTGGTGGTAAAGTACAATGTGGCTATCTGCCCTGAGGGAAGGGGTGGTGTTGGTGGTGGTGGTGGTGGTGGTGGTGGGGGGGCATTCATTCATCGGCACCACTGGACCCTCTGACCACCACCAGTTGGCAAGGTGGATGAAGTGGTTACAGGATGACTCATACTCTGCCACAACTGACTCACATTTYCAGAAAAAAATAAACTTGCAGCCAGTAGGTGCCTGTAATGASTAGACGAGTCTGAATACAATAGGTCACAAGTCCATCACAGGGACATAAAAATATTCAAAATACAACTAAACATAAAAAAACATAAATTACTGTCCATTTGGTCCAGGGACTCCTTAATGAGGAATGTGGCAGACCTCTTCCTGTGTTAAAGCCCCTCTCTCTAAAAGCTCCTGATTAATTTGCAGGTTCGGACATTTCACAGTCCGATGAACATTAGTGTTGCAGGAGGACTTAAAGGGGTCAGTTGGGGTCATGTCTATGGGAGGGAGAAAAGCGTGGCTCATTCTGAGATTAGATCTGATCCGTTGARATTTCTGGACAACAGTCTGGATCAAGTTTCAGCAAAGATTTTAACAGTAAAAGTCTTCAACATTTAGTTTGATTATAACTCAGTGCAGTTACAGCAGGTCAAGTTTACAGATATTTAATAAAACACACTGTTTGTGCTTTAATACTGAGGCTGTGTTCTTTCCAGGAAAGCAATTTAAGACTAAAAACTGTTGCTTTTCATTCAAAACGTCTTTCTACAGAAGGCTCATTATTCAAGCCGCTCTTTGGTTTCAGTGTTCCTGTAGAGTCACTTCCTGTTTGCCCAATTAGTTGTTTTTATTGGTTCCTATTCCAGAGCAGGCCAAGGGTCGGCTGATATCAGCTCAGACATAAACACTGTGTGAAGCTGGTTGTTTATATTCAGAGCCTACATTTGCCAAAGGTATTCTCTCTGCTATGAAGCTTTTCTGACAAAAAAACAAAAAACAAAACAGAACACCTTCACAATACAGAAATGTAATGTGTAGTCACTTGTTTTATTCCAAGTACAAACCTRTTCAAATCCTTTTTGTCTAACAATTGGGTCATTTCCAGGGGTAACATACACAGAAGATAAGTCTGTGGTAGGTCCATAACCACATACACAAACCTCTTTTGCTTAAATAAATAAATTGGCAGACACTGTTGCCATCAGGCTGCAGATTTATGGGCTCTGTATTGTCTGYCTGTATGTTTCCCATGGACTGAGACAATGCAGGAGGGATGTAGTCATGTCTCAGTGACTTTTCAGGCACAAATCACACAAAATAACTGACCCTTTATGTGCACCGAGCGGGATGAAAGCCTCCCTTCAGAAAAGCCTTTAAACCTGAACTCGCCAGAGGCTGAAAATACAGCTTGAAGGTGTTTTGTCTTTATTTCTTTCAGCCAAGAATATCACTGCAGGAATCCTGCYGATTGACAACAGATGAAGAAAATGTGAAAAGTAAAAGACATCTTTACGGATCTTGAAACCGCTGAAAACCCGTTTGTAATGAACAAATGTTTGCCCTCTGATCGCTGAGAAAACTGGACTGCATACGTTTGTACAGGATCTGTGTTTTCTTTGACTTGAAGAGTTTAGCTCAGCCACCAACCCAATCCACCTACAGTATGTGTAAATATGTCTATGTTTGTGCTTTGTAGCTGTTCGTATTAAAAAAAAGTTCAGTTATTCAGGAGATGGCTCCTGTGGCCAGTGTTGCAACTCCTGAGCAAGAAAAATCTCTATCGGCTGTCCTAGACTTTTGGTTTATATCTTTAATTTTTATATTTATTCAATTCCTTCAARACTTTGTTCTATTAGAAATCTGCTTCAGCATATCCACTCTGTTATTTTACTTTTAGTTTATAGCTTTAACTTTTGCTACTTTTAGCTTTTAGTACTTTTAGCTAACTTTTGCTAATTTTAACTTATAGCTGGGCTTTGACAACTTTTAGCTACCCTTTAGCTACTTTAAACTTCTAGCTAGGCGTTTGCTACTTTTAGCTCTTARTACTTTTATCTATAGCCTTGCGATAATTTTAACTTTAAGCTGCTTTTACTCCTTTTAGCTTCTAGCTATCCTTTTGCTACTTTTAACTTCTAGGCTTTTTAGTTATCATTTTGTCACTTTTAGCTTTAATCTATCGTTTTGCTACTTTTAGCAATCTCTTTGTCACTTTTAGTCCTACCTTGCTTTAATCTAGCCCTTTGCTAATTTTAACTTCTAGTCAGGATTTGGCTATTTTTAGCTATCATTTAGCTACTTTAAACTCAATGCTGGACTATAGCTACTTTTAGCTTCTACCTAGCTTTTAGTACTTTACCCAACCTTTTGCTGCTTTTAACTTATAGGCTTTTGAATCTGTTTTTTGCCCTCTAACAGGGGCATTAAAAAAACTCTCCTCTCTCCAGTAGGGCTTCTGATTATGAACAGGTGGGGATCGGCCCCGGCGACGTTGTCGCCGTGGTCGCTCGACCAAGGTCCAACCGCCATCATCCTCAGAGCTCATCATGCTTTTAAACAGAATATTTAAAAAACTAAGTGAACTGAACGTGTCTGAACAATTAACAGCTTGCACAAAGTATGAATGGAGAATGTGTGTGTGTGTGCGTGGATGTGTGTGTGTGTGTGTGTG